GAGTCCACGGCATAATTTGTCATTCTCAAGTGGCAATTAGCTAACATGGATTACTTTTAATTTTTATTTTTTTTTTTGAAAACGTTGATAGCATTAGTTAATTATATAATTTTAAAGTTATAAATTTAAAATAATATTTATATCTTTTTTAAAAATATTTTTTTAAAAAAACAAAACTTTCATAAACTGTTTATATGATTAAAGTCCGTAAGACAATCATACATTTTTAAAAACACTTTCATATTTTAAAAAAAGTCTATAAAAGTCATTAAAACTCTAAATTAATTACACCCTTACAAATATTTCATAACTTCAATTAATACATTATTTATAGTTTTCTTACAAAATTTTTTATAATATAATAATATATAATATATTTTAATAAATCATAACTAAATTAATGCATTGCAAAATAAATAGATAAATAAATATTCATTGTCACAAAAATAGAATGTATTATACATTAAAAAAATCAATTAATTTCCACTAAATGATATGCCAATAAAATTATTTCTTGAACGAATGAACCAGCTAATATTGAGTAATATAATTATAAAAATGTATGGAATGAAAAAACATTAATTAAAATATTCTTTTTAGTATATTTATTTTTTATTGCATTGATTTCACCTTGTTGGGTGTCTCTCCGCATATCCGGAGCTATTTTACTATTTTAGTTCTCCATTCATTTGCACGTTCTTGTTATTGCTCTTGAGTTTCAAACACTTGTTCAAAATTATTTACATCGTTAGTTGGTAAAGGTTAATGGAGATATATCATTATCTAGCTCAATTGAAACTCATCTCTACGACACTCATTGCGAAGACAATTATGAATTCCTGCACAAGCTAATACAAGTTTTACTTGAGTCTTATAAGAGAATGAAGGTGATGACTTGAAGATCGTAAATCTCGAATTGAATATATCTAATATCATCTCAATTACATTCCTTAAAAGAAGCATATTGTATATTGAATAACTTAACTCACTTTCAAGGTTAGGACCTTGTTCGACAAAATATTGGAGATGATAACGTACACCTCGATATAGAGCTAAAAATTATTGTCGATTTGAAAATCCACAATCCACTAAAAAGTATTTACTTACGCACACTTAACATATTAAGTATCCAATATGTAAAGTTATTTAATTAGTATTATTACAAACAATAATAAAACTAAACTGACTTTGTGGCACTTGATCATTTCTTCTTGATAGACTGTCACTTAACAAATTTGAATCATGTCCTGAATACTCCTCCCCCCCCCCCCCCCCCTTCCACCCCACCACGAACATACGTAGTATATGAATTCTAAATCAAAGTTACAAGTAGCCAATACATGCATTTTGTGAAATTATTCATGATGATTACGGTAACGGCTAACATCACGTCCATTTACCATTGATGGAAATCTAGAATATGTGTGACATCAATAGTTCTATGCAATCCTAAAGTAAGTTCAACACATAAATATAATATCATATTCACATTTTTAAAAGCACAATATTCTTGTTACTCATAAATGAATAAACAATAATTAATCAAATATAGTTTATTTATTGCTTATCAAGTAAGGGTAAAACCTTATATTTTCTCTTATTCGTGTACGCACTGTGAAACCAAGTTTGACCATCATTTCAGGTGTTATTGTGTTAATAAATCATTAAAATTTTGTTAAAATTATTACTTGTAGGCTTGTAGCAAAGTATGATCGATAAAATGTTTCACGAGCATGACAATATCTAGAGTTCTAGTTAACTGTTAATAAAAATGTTACAACCATCTCTTCAATATTAATGTATCTTATATCTTTTAAATGTAATTTCTATTTAACAATATGGCATAATTTTAAAAATACATTTGGATACATTCTGTATACATGTCAAAAGTTATCAGAATATTCAGTTAATATATTTTAATTTGTATGTAATTGTATTAACATGAAGTACTTTCAAAAAAAAGTATTAACATGAAGTAATTGGTCGCCGTGTTAGTGGATGTTCTTCTTCAAATTATTCATCTATTTGTTCCTCCTCCCTATCAACCTTCTCACGTTCATTATTGCTAGATGACTTGTTAACTTGAGAAATTGGTATTTGGTATAATTGAATGATTTGAACTTATTTAATGAATAAATTGACTTAATTACATGTGACTTTGTAGGTATATTGGACCATTTTTACCTTGGTAAAATTTATTATGAGACCGTTTTACATATTCTCATTCGAGAAACGGATTAGGTTTCTCATAAGTATTATATTTTTTTTAATGAATATAACACATTTCCTCATAAGTAACTTTTAATCTATAATACTACAGTTATATTTAAAAGTATTATATTTTTTATCAAACGTATCACATTTTTATTCATGAATATTATAATTTATTATCATAAGTAACAATCAATCAATTTATCTCTAATTAGTATTACATTTGTTTTCATAAGTAACTCTTCAGTCCCTAAATGATAGGGATGAGTGGATGACCACGGTTTGGTTCGAATCAAATTGTATACTGTAAAAACCGAACCAGAACATGACAGATTGACAGTTTCAGTTCAATAATATCAAGAACCGAAATCGCCGATTCCAATCCGAACCGAAAAAAATATATTAACAATTTAAAGTTTAACTATTAGTTGATTAAAGTTTAAACTTTAACTAACAGTTTAAACTTTAATTATAACAAGTATTTTTATTTTTTTTAGTTTAACTTTAAAGTCTTTTTTTTTTTTTTTTGAAGGACACCGTTTAAATATTTGATATAACCATTTTTTTTTTGAAAAAGAAATTAAGAATGAAAAAAGTTATTATTGAATTTGGATTATTTAAAAAAACAGAAAAATTTAAGTACGAACTAGCGATTCAAACCGAAATCGTCGAAAAGTTTCAGCTCTAGTTTGTAGTTTTTTTTTTTTTATAACAAAAAACATATGATTTAGAATCGGAACCGAACTGCGGTCACCCCTATGACCCTACATTTTGATTTTAAAATATTATATTTTTTTTTATCAAAAATATTACATTTTCTCTTAAGAGTAATAATCAATTTATCTCGGCTAGTATTACATTTTTAAATAGACACGACTTGCTTTACGAACAAATATTCGTTAAACAATCTCGCAGTAGGGTCACCATTTTACATTTTTAAAATTTCAAACACATCTTGGTCAAACTTCCTATAGTCTAATCCTATTGAAACAACAAAAATCAACTATGCCTCCACTAAGGTTTGATCACATGACCTCTTACATAAGAGAGGTCATTACATGTCATATAAGCACAAAATGCTTAACGTTTATATAAGCACAAAATGCTTAACGTTTACTTATATATATAATTTAAAGGCTATTATATAAAAGTAGAGTTCCCTATAACCCATCAACCCATAGACACTCTCGCATAGTGATGGTTAGTTTATAGTTTCCTCGTCAGCTAAAATTATATATTCAGAAGTCGTTTGATACTTTCCATAAATTAAATTTCTTGAAAAATGCTTATAAGGCTGTCCACATCCCAGCCAAACTCCCCTTTGTAAAGTGATGTGGCAAAGCCACATATACATTTTTTTTTTTTAATGAAATGGGTTTGCAAATTTGCACTGCAAGCAAATTTGCAAACCCTGACAAAGCTGACGCGGCAGCTTTTGTAATTTTTTTTTTAAAATTTTATTTGATTTTTTTGTACTTTTTAATATTTTAATATAATTAATAATGTTATTTTAATACATTGGGCCTACTTTTGAAAGTTGATTAGATTTGTAAGGATGTAGTATGAATAGTAGATGATTTGCAAATGGGATGATGTGAGAGTGAGATCCATTTTTGAGGGTGGAAGAGATTTACAGGAATAATGTTAGCCTAAGGAATATACTTGATGGAAATAACTTGAAAGAATTATTTAACATATTTGGTGTTATCCGGAAAATATAACAATTAAATTACTTGAAAAATTAATTAACATGTTTTATTTATTTAAACTTTCTTAATTTTTTTTTATATAATCTCTAATAGGTATATATATATATATATATATATATATATAGGGAAAATGACACTTTTTCCCCCTGTGTTATATACTTATAGCACTTTTTTTCCCCTATATTATTTAAGTGGCAATTTTCCCCCCTGATATATTAAATGGACATATTTACCCTTAAAATAAATATTTCCTTTATTTTACTTCTCCAACAAATTATAACCACAATTTGAAAAAATAAAATACATTAATTGTTGAATTTAGAATACTTTAAAAATAAAAAAAAATAAAATTTTAAAATAATGTTTGAACCAACAGTTCAAATTGGATCCGAAATTGTGAAACAACGATTCAAAATAAAAACCAAATCGCGATTATATATACTTATATGTGAGAGTCAATATAAATGCGAAAAAAAATACACTATTTGCAAATATTATAATTCTAATTTTAAGCTATTGCTAGTAGTTGTTCCGATTTGAACCTCTGGTTCACGGTTCAGAATCTATTTTTTTCCACTTCACAATTTTAATAAACGGAAACCCAAATATTGGGTTATGTTATGAATCATAACTGAATTTTTTTTTATTTGATTGCTATAGTTTTCGGTTCAGTTCGAACCGAACCGTGGCCATCCCTACGTATAAACAATAATTTGTTGAACAAGAGAAATAAATAAAATATGTATTTAAGGGTAAAAATGTCTATTTAATATTATCAGGGGGAAAAACCGCCACTTTTATAATAATTGAGGGGGCAAATGTGGATGCATGAATAACTCAGGGGGAAAAAGTGCTATAAGCATATAACATAGGGGGAAAAAGTGCCATTTTCCATATATATATATATATATTGAGTACTACCGACTATGTTATAATATAGTATTTGTTCATAACTATTTTCTTAACCTAGACTCAATAAATCAAGATAATTAATTAATATATATACAAACATAAAAAAATACATAACAAATAATGAAGAGTTTAATAATAAATTCCCACAGTAGCTTTATAATTCTTTCTGTAGGAAATATTCCACACTGCCTCGAAGGGCGAATCTCTGTGCGGTAATTCCATCTTCTCCGAGAACTAACTACAAAATCTAAAACAAAAAAGCAAACAATTTCGTCCCAGAGGGGATAGTTGATTCAGGAAATGGCAGACCGTTTCTTTCCGAACGAAATGCCTAATTTCATCCCAGAAACCGCAGAGGCAGAAGAGCTAGCGGAAAAAGCGCAAGACTCACTCACTAAGCTTCTACATCTTCCTTACAAGAACGTCGCGAAGAAAATACAAAAATCTGCTTTGGTGCTTAAAGAAAAGGTACCCACTGTTCCACTTCTTCATAGTACTAGTATATGGATTCCATGTAATTTCATCCGAATTTCAAGATTGTTTACTTGGTGCTTGTAATTTTGTCTGACTGGGTTGCTTTGGTTCGTTTCAGATTGTGGAGGAGACGTGGGTAGCTAAGGGGAAACGCGTGAGTGACTATTCACTGTACACTGGGGCTCTGGGCACTGCTTTCTTGTTGTTTAAAGCTTACCAAGTTAGCAAAGACAGGAATGATCTTGCTTTGTGCTTGGAGATAACCAGTGCTTGTGATCTTGCTTCTCGCGGTTCTGGGTATGACGTATGAACTATATATATATATATCTCTGGTCCCTCTTTCTTAACATAAATGCATATTTTGGTTGTTCAATAAGTGAAGTCTTTTCCTGGCTTCAACCTGATAGATTGGAACAGTTTTGCAAATAAAGTTGGTGGCTTTGCATGTTGTGGTTCGTTGTAGCATCCTCTCTTTCAGTCTTTCTCAAATCACAATATTTGTGGCTGTGCTGCTAATTTATGATTTGAAATATTGATTTTATAATGTCATTACAAACATTTTGAAGTCATAGCCTAGTGACAGAGCAAATAGTAATTGTTGGTAGATGAAAACGGATAGAACGAGTCTGGTCAGTGTAAGACTGTAAGTGATTTGTTTCAATGTTTTTCAGTTGAGGATATCAGTCATTTTGTTGGAGTTCTTCAATGATCATATCATTGCTTATTTGCTATGAAGTGCTAAGGAATGCTGCATGCAAAATAGATGCACTCTGATGGGGTTTGCCTGTCATGGAATTGCAGGCGGGTCACATTCATATGTGGGCAGGCGGGTGTATGTGCCCTTGGTTCAGTTGTGGCAATGCACATTGGCAATGAACGGTTATGTAGCCATTACTTGGCGCAATTTAAGGAGGTCAGTTTATTACCTTGCAGCTTTTTACTTCACCTTCACCACCAAAATGGTAAGAAGTTGTTTTCTAGTTTTGACTTCTTAGGCCTCCTCATTTTGTTCTTCATTAATTATATTATATTATATTATATACCTCTCTGCAGCGAGCAGTAGTGGATGATGTTATAAGATCTGGCCATAAAATGGCGACAGGGAGATGCCCTTTGATGTATGAGTGGCATGGGAAAAAATACTGGGGGGCTGCCCATGGTCTGGCTGGTATTATGCATGTATTGATGGACATGGAACTGAAACCGGATGAGCTGGAGGATATCAAGTGCACCCTGCGTTTTATGATCAGGAACCGCTTTCCTAGTGGGAATTACCCTTCAAGTGAAGGAAATGAATCAGATCGTCTTGTGCATTGGTGCCATGGTGCTCCTGGCCTTGCTCTTACTCTTACAAAGGCAGCAAAGGTTAAGTGCATCCCTATTGCCAAAATTTATTTTATTCTTTGAATACTTCTGGTTTTATGTCATTGCAGTGTATCATTAAATATAGGGAAAAGGGTCAAATAAGTCCCTAAACTTTACCCAAGAAGTCAATTAGGTCCTTAAACTTTCAAAAGTTGCAATTAAATCCACAAACATGTTATTTTGGAGCAATGAAACCCACAAACCTGAAACCTGTTGGTGACCTGTAATTGCAGGTCAACTAGGGTTCTGGCCAACTCAGGTGAACCTCCGACGAACGTCCGACCAAATTCTAGCAAGCCATATCAAATACCGGCGACGGTCGTCTTCTGCCTGAGAAGGCGAATAATGCGACCATGTTGGTCGCCTTCTCCGACGATTGGACAAGGCGACCAACTTGGTCGCTTTATCCATTGGTCGCCTTCTCCGGCAGAACGCGACTGGTGACCGTTTGATGGTCGCCGGTCACTGGTATTTCACAGGCTTGCCGGAATTTGGTCGGACGTTCACCAGAGTTGGCCGGAACCCTAGTTGACCTGCAATTACAGGTCACCAACAGGTTTGTGGGTTTCATTGCTCCAAAATAACATGTTTGTGGGTTTAATTGCAACATTTGAAAGTTTATGGGTATAATTGACTTCTTAGATAAAGTTTAGGGGCTTATTTGACCCTTTTCCTTTAAATATATTAACTACGGAGTACTTTTTATGTCTTTCTCCCTGAGAAGACCTTGTATATATCCGAAAAGTCTCGCTTAGTGTGATGTCTTATGCCATTTTTAGGTTTTTAACAGTGAGGAGTTTCTTCAAGCAGCTGTAGATGCAGCTGAGGTGGTCTGGAATCGGGGACTACTAAAACGAGTTGGTATTTGTCACGGTATCAGTGGGAACTCGTATGTATTTCTTGCACTTTACCGATTAACAGGTGACATGAAATATTTGTACCGGGCAAAGGCATTTGCTTGCTTTCTGCACAATAGAGCTCAAACTCTTATATCAGAGGGAATTATGCATGGCGGTGATCGTCCATACTCACTATTTGAAGGCATTGGGGGTATGGCTTATCTCTTTCTGGACATGACAGAACCGCTTGACACAAGGTTCCCTGCTTATGAACTTTAGTTCTATGCAAAATATAATGAAGTGTTTATACTTGATATGACTGTCTTGTTATCTGTTTAGTGTTCCGAAATGCTGCGATGTTTAGTTTGTGTTTGTAAATGAAACAGTTGAAGTTTTAGTGCACTTTTCAAAACTGATATTTATTTGTCTTTCTAAAACAATGAGTTTGCATGCCGAAACTCATGCTTTTAGAACTTTATAAAGATCCACCCCTAATAAGTGAGTTAGGGTGAATATAAAGGTGCCATTTTCTCAAGTCTTTGACACATGAAGACCACGCTGCCAAATTTCTCTGGCAATTCTGCCTGGATTAACCTTTTTGCCTTGTCAAAAAATGGAAACAACCATGGAAATTTCCAAAGCTTTTATTATAGTGTTAAAATGTTTTTACAAATCAAGCTACTAGTAGCAACCCAACAAGCCCAAAACACAACAAATTCTAGTAATTTGTATAGGCTCATGAAGACCCACAAACATTTAGTTGGAGAGTGACTTTCTGTTGCTTAAGTCCATATCCATTTATTTGATGGATTTACCGGGCACACGGAAGCACCACAGTGTGGACAGAAAGTGGACTGAACAAGCTCTGATACCATATTATAATCTAAGATTACTCATATGACTGTAATGCACTCATACTAAAAGACTGAAGTTACTGAAGTTTCTTTCTGGGACTCTTAATAGAGTTATTCTTGTGCATGGGTGCACAATCTACTACAGACAATCTCTGTGCCATTTATCAATTTTGGGGTTATAACCCTGACATATTCAGCTTTAAAAAACAAAATACTAATCCTGTAGTAATGCAGGGCAGGTTACAATCACAGCAGAGAAGCTATTGAATGCTATGAGTTTAGCAATTGATTTAGATTAGGAACTTTATTTTAATATAACCTTCTAATTAAGACCTTGATTCCATGGTATGGATGGATACCATCTACTAATTATAACTGTCTTTAAAGTGCTCAGTTCAAATAAGGCTCTTGTTGTAGAATCCCAGCTTCAGTGGTGCTCAGATGAGGAAGATTGTCATCTGGGAAGCTTGAAATGGCAAAATCAGATTGCTGTAGAAAGGTATCAGTAGTAGTAGAGATGTTATGATCCCAGAAAGTATTATTATTGCTTCCTGGGAGCCAATCTGATTCAAGTTCATCCCCAGCCCACTCTGGTTCCACATCTCGATCATGATTAACATAATCATCATCTATTGTCTTAGGTTCATGAGCGGAGATCCCGGAACACTTTGTATTGTTAGATTCGATAATATTACCTGATGTTATCTGCTTTGGTTTTGCTTCTTTTTGTGTTGCAGTCTCGAGGTCTTCATGGAGGGCGCCATCGAGGAAGAGGTGGGGGAAATTCAGCCTTGCTTTGGCTCCCCTTAACCTATAGGCCTCGCGATCGTAGGCCAAGGCAGCATCTTCTGCACTGTCAAAGGTGCCTAGCCAAAGGCGGGCTCGGTTGTGAGGGAGGCGAATCTCCGCCACCCATCTCCCCAAGTGGCGCTGCCTCACTCCCCGGTATAGTTTGGGCAAGGGAGAGGCTGCCTCATTGAGACCATCGTGACCCAAACCAATCGGCCCAGCGCTTTGCCAGGAAATTTGATCGTTCCCACAGCCAGAAGAGCTTTGTAACTGCTGTTGTGGAGCAAAAGAAATCATAGTTTGATGGTGAAACAGTGGGTGGGGTATAGTATCATGGAGGGCGAAAGGAAAACGAAAACTTGGAGGTTGGGGAGGAGAAATGAGGGGTTTGTGTGTGGGGTGAGATGTGGAAGAAGAGAGTAATTGTGGGATATTCTTCATCTTCTTGAGAGGTCTATCCGACAAATCATGGTCTTGTTCCTCAACCGATATGCGCACGCCCTCTGTTGTCGGATTCATGACCTTGGCTTGCCTACTTTTTCACGTTTTAGTCCTCTTCCATTCCACAATGCCTTGCATTGATATCTCAACTCTATGAGAGCATGATGGCCCCTATATATACAACCGTTATACCCTACACCACGGCGGGCGTAGCACTGTGCGCCGCGCGCCTCTCAAAACGACGCCGTTTTGGGGTCGTTTTGGGAGGCGCGGTAGGAAGTTGCTGTGATTATGTGTATGTGTTCACACAATTATGTGTATTTGTTCATACAGTTATGTACATTTTTTATACAATTATGTACATTCTTTTTATACAATTATGTACATTCGAATCAGAAAATTTGTGTGTATTATGTTAAGAATTGATGTGTATTATGTTAAAAGTTTATGTTTATTATGTATTATCTTAGATTATGTGTATTATCTTTTAAAAAGAGTATGTATATTTTGTTATATAATTATGTATATTCATGTATACAATTATTTGTATTCTAATATAACATTATGTACATTTTTGAACAACGGGTTTTTTTTAAAGAAAAAATTACTGTCATTCACTGGGGCGGGAAATTTCAAAAAAAAAAAAAAAAAAATTTAAAACGACGTCGTTTTGCATCTGGGCGCACAGTGCAACGCGCGCCGTGGTGTAGGATATAAATTGCCATATATATATATATATATATATATATATATATATATATATATATATATATATATATATATATATATATATATATATATATATATATATATATATATATATAGGTTTCGAATCCGGTGCACCCCCTTTGATAAATGAGGTCATGAGATTTCATGCTATCCATTGATTAATTTTCCATCAATGGTTCAGATAATTAGAGATTATTAAAAGAAGAAATGATATATATTAACCAAAAGGATTCAACTGTAATTGTACTTATTGAACTATTTATGGCATTAATAGTAATGGAATCTTAAGCATTAAATCTGGGATATAATGTATGGTAATTGAGGAGATGGATCATTAAATCTTCAGCATACACGTAGTAAATTTTAAACGCGTGAAAGATACTGAAAACGCAGCACCATCATCAACCAAGAAACGCACTTCAGTAATGGCTGTACAAAGCACAGGTAGGTGCATTCCTTCATATTGGTGTGTGCGTAATACTTGTATTTGCGTTTTTTACTGTTTTTGTTGTGGTGACGAACGACCTACGAAATAGCGATATTTGTGAACCTCTGGAAACAGCATTTACATGTAAGCGTGGCTGCATACCAGCTTCTGCAACTCTTCCGGCTTTATTACGTCGTGTATATATAATGGGAGCTTAGGGGCCGGGTGCGTGGAGTAACAATAGTCAGTGCATTATAGATGATTAGGCAATATGTCGGTGCATAGTCGTGTGTTCGCATGTGCGTAATACCAACATTTCCGTTCCTTTTTTTTTTTTTTTTCGTTTATGCGGTAACGTAATTGCATATAAGCTTGTGCAACCCTGCCGGGTTTATTAGGGCGTGTATGTATAGGGGGAGCTTAGGGGTCGGGTGCGTGGAGTAACAAAATTCCGCTCATTATGGCTGAGTATGCACCAAACGGTGCGTAGTCATGTATTGGTCTGTGCATAATACCAATAGGGCCGTTACTAATTTGTTAGTTGATGGGAAGAGCGGACTATCAATTAGGGCTATCTATGAACCTCAGGAAACAGCTGGTATGTGGTAGCGTGGATGCACATAAGCATATGCAACCCGTCCGGGTTTATGACATCATGTATATATGATGGGAGCTTAGGGGCCGGGTGCGTGTAGTAGCAATTGTCTGTGCATTATACTGATGTTATATGGTGGAACAGTGGTTGTGTTTATTTTTTGGTTCTGTTAGTTTACGGGGGTGACACACGTGGATTTAAAACACCCCATGCAAGGGCGTTAGTTGAGGAGGATGGTTAGTAGCCAACAACTGGTAAGTGGTAGCGTATCACTGGTGAGCTAATAAGGTTGGTGCACAGACGGACATTAGTATGTGCGTACACGTGTGCGTCGACTAACAACAGACTGTGCATTGTGGATGCGTATGAGTAAGGAATCGTTTTCCGTATAAAATTTGTTGTTTTTTTTTTTTTTTTTTTTTTTTTTTTTGTTTAGACGAGCTAAATGTAGGGGTAAGTAAGTGCATGCGGGACTGATATCTGAAAAATGTGGAAGGACATGAATTATGATTCCAACTTCTAATGTTTTTAGACTATTAGCAGGATGCGTAAACCAACATCAGTATGTGCATAGTAGTGTATATACGGTGTGTTATTGTTTTTTTTTTCTTTTTTTGGTTATTGTTTTCTGTGTTAGCTTTCTACGACAACATAAGTAAATGAGATGTAGGGGAGAATGAAACGAATGTTTGACACAGAGAAACACACGTGAATTTCGAACACGCCCACGATATTGATTTCCTGTATTGAACTTTTTGAATATTTGGGTATTTGTTATTGATCGTAAGGATATTTATTTTGGAATCGAGCAACGACCAGAATTTTGTGACCAAATTAAAATGTTATGAAACTGTTATTGTATGACAGGTGCCCCACAAATAGAAGAAGTTGTTGATGACCAGAACACGCACCAACACAATAACAGTGGTGCACCAACCTAAAAGAAAAAAAAAAAAAACAAAAACAAAAACAGCAGTAGCAATTTCCAACAACACTTTACACCTAACTTGCACACGGTAACAAACACAAACGCACATGGGATGGTTAGTCAGCCGAGCCCGTAAGCACACACCCTGATCGTTGATTTCTTTTGATCAAGGGCTCAGATGATGTTGGTTTATTCCCCATGTGAGTTGATTGTTTACGTAAGAAGGGGTATTATTGTAATTTTGCTTATGCTTTTATTATCCCTACGCTCTTTTCCCGGCATTAATTAGAGCACATGCCTTCTACATCTCCCTCGCCTCTCATCTTCCTCGCTTCTAATCTCCCTCGCTTCTCATCTCCCTCGCCTCTCATCTTCCTCGCCGATTGTTCTCCCTCGCCGAGTGTCTCCATGAATGGGTCTAGCAGGAGGCAGTCTATGAGGCTTAGGGGTATCTCGTCTTCGTCAATTTCTGGTAATATCTATCGTCGTTTTTTTTTTTTTAAATTTTGTTGTTGTTTTGTGGTGTTTTTTCCCGAATTTTGGTGGGTTTGTTACGGTAGCGAAGGGTAGTGGATTGGGGTTTAGGATTTTCGATTTCTTGTGTGTTTTTTCTGGGGTGTTATCATCGGGGGGTTTTGTTTTTGTGACGTCGATGTACTTAGGGTTTGGTGGTGGGTGCTAGTGTGTCCGTGGGTGGTTTCTATTTTTCGGGTTAGGGTTTAGGGGGGTTGCAATATGTTTTTTTTTTTTCTCGGATTGGTCGGGAGGTTGGTGTTCGTGGCTGGGCATTGGTGGTGTTTTGGTGTTCGTGGCTGGGCATAATTATATGTTTTTTTTTTTTTCTTTTTGTTTTGTGGTTCCTGTGATTTATCTTTGGCATTCGCAGCGGATGATAATTATATGTTTCATGTGCTTTTTCGTGGTCTACTGTGTGCTTTTTATGTTCTTGGTTGGTGCGTTACAGTGTGGCTGTTTTCACAGGCAGATAGTAATAATCTTATGATATGCTTTCACAATTTTGGATGGTTTGGTTTTTAGATAATTTCATTTTGCTGTTTTTTTAAGGAACACAAAGTTGCTGAAATAATTACTCTATGAAGAACAAAAGAAAAGATGTAGGAACTAGATGCCATTTTTAATGAATTCAGACTCTTTTTTCTTCTCATGAATGCTTAATTAGGTCATTGAAGGAACACTCTTTAATTGTTTAATATTAGATTGCTATTAATACAGTAATATCATTTTACCCTAAAAATGTTGCCAAACATGATCTTGTGATTGTGTTGTTTGAATAGCAAGAAGCCAAGAACTAGAGTCTCTTTTCTATATTATTTGAATTTCAAGTTTTAATCATTCTATTTAATGGAAGGTTGAATTGTAGTGGTCAAATGCTAAACATTGTCTTTCTTGACTTCTTTGAGGAATTCAGGTGGAAGTTGGTGAAGATTCGCCTTCAGGAAAGCACAATAGAGGATGCAATTGCAAGAAATCTGGATGTCTCAAGAAGTACTGTGAGTGTTTCCAGGCTAATATTCTTTGCTCTGGAAACTGTAAATGTGCAGATTGTAAGAATTTTGATGGAAGTAACGGGAAAAGCTCTCTTTTCCATTGGGCTCATACAAATCTAGCTGCATTCATCCAATCCCATGCAACTGTCAATGGGGCTATTAGTAATTCTTGGTTTGTTCCTACACCACCTACAAAGAAAAGAAAGAATGGGGAAATGCCTTTAGGAGACAATTCTACTGATAAATCCAATAAGTTTTCAAAGAGCACGTGCTTGCCACCTGCATCATCGACGACCTCGGCATATCCCGCGACTCCGACGACGCCCACCGCCTCCTCAACTGGCGCAAGGCTGGCCCTAGAGCTGGCCTCAATGCTAGAAATTTCTCTCACATTTTGAATTGTTTTAAGTTGGATAGGTATAATGGTTGTTTTAATTTGGATAGGTACAATGGTTTGTGATTGGTACATAGGAAATTTTTGTCTTACTGTATCTGTTTTTTTTTTTTTTTTTTTTGAATGTAAGTCATTCCACAGTAGGTGAATGGTGTCTGGGCTTTGATTTTTTGGCTTGGGTAAATGCATATGGGTCCAATAGTTTGTGTGTTAGTGTCTGGAGTTGTAATATGCATTCTGGTTTTGTTTTTCCTGTTTTTTTTCGTAATAGGGTGGTGGGCTACTGGTTTTGGGTGGGGTGGTTTTTGCGTTCTAGCTGTTACCCTGTGCAAGTTAGGGTAAAGTGTTGTTGGTATTTGCTACTGCTGGTTTTGTGTTGGTTTTACAGTTATGTTGGTGCACCACTGGTGTTGAGTGTGTGCGTGTTTATTGTTTTTTTTTGGGTGTGGAGGTTTGTGCGTAGTAGTATGTACCTTTGTGCAGGTTAGGGTGTATTG